TTCTTTGTTTTTGCCCCTGCTGAACAAGACACTTCTGCATGTGACAACTTCACGGCTAACCACACTGCATGTTCTTTAGGCAGGACCTAGCCCAGAGCATTCCAAGCCAGCTGCTACCAGGGCTGCAATAACTCCTTCAATGCTGCATGCACTGCATCACTTAGTCATTTACACCCCCCCCCCCCCCCCCCGACCCCGTGATCCAGTTTTTCAAGAGCTTCGACTGGGCTGTATTTTTCAGCATGCCTCTCCCAGTGCTGCGTCCTCTGCTCATCACAGAAAGTAGATCTGAATAAATGAAACTCAGCAACCAGGGTGCTTAGCTTATGTCAAAAGGAGACTGGGGTCTCCTTTCAACAGGTTTTTCCCATTTACCCAAATTTTATAACAAGTCCGTCTTCCCGGCGTTAGTTTATAAGCACCACTTTCAGAAGCCCACCAGAAACACAGAATCTCAAGAAATGCCAGTAGAAACCGCAGTTCCTTACTGTTATATATAGCACTTAAAACTTTTCCAAGTACTTAACACACATTATTACCCTTGTGAAAGGGTGGGTGTATATGTGAAGGAGAGAATAAAATGCAGTATTTTCACGATTCAGAGGACAAATGAATTTTTTCCCCTTTCCTTGGATGAGCTAAGTAAAATGGCGACTCAATCAATGATTTTGGTAATGGAGGGAAAAGTGGGGTTAAATGCTCTGAGTTAACCGGACAGTTCCACCCGTGGAGACCTCAGTTACTAGACTGGGGATGGAGAATAGAACCTTTAAAAGAGACAAAGTGAAGGTAAAAGAAGAAAAGAAATCTGTCTGCAGATAATGAAATCTCAGGGTCCCACTATTTCAGGAGATAAATTTAGGGGAGTTTTAGTACCTACATCAGGAAGATTTATATTTGGTCTACTGAATTTGCATAGTCACAATATGCCAATTTCCTCTCTATCTTTTTGGCAAACATTTCCTGGCTTTAGCTGAATCCCTCAGCCTCCTGTATTCAATTTTTCTCTCTGTACCAATAATCTCATTTAAGATGGATGATAGGAATGTTTTTGGCTGAAGGTAATTTAGACTTTGTACAACGGAGTTCTAATCTCTCTGATGGGGATCATATCCTCCCAACGCAAGCATTAGATTTGGAAACTAACCCGGGATGTTTTGGGGGCACAAGTAATTTAAATCAGAAGAAAGAGATGTTTTGAATCCCTCCCACTCCCCACCAGGCCCTTCAGACTTACTTGGATTCACGATTAAGAGAGTTCCTTTTCCAAATGTCAGTTTATACCTGCTACTTCCACTAGTCTCACAGTCAGCGGAGGCTTTACAAAAACACGAACAGGAGCTGCTCTTTGCGGAAGGGCCCTGGGGGTCAATATGGTCTCGATCCCACAACCCTGCACTAAACTACAGGTTATTTGACAACATGCCCAGAAGGCAGCTGCTGCAGGTGGGAGCTGGGCCTCCAGAGGGCAATGGAGCCCTGATAAATATATACTTTGCTTATTACAAATTTTAAAATTGTTTTTCTTTTTCTTAGTTGCCACCTTAGTTTGGGTAAACTATCTCTTTTTCTTTTTCCCTCGTTGTCTACCCCTGGTTGGCACTCACACAGTTTTCATTTTATTGTACTTCAGGGCTAAGCTGTTTCTCTGTTTTTTCTTAAAATTGTTCGCATCAACACACTAGATTCTGGTTTACTGGAAACCGATTGCAGAAGGGGAGAGAGTGAGGGAGTTTTACAGGGCCGTATTCAAGGTAGGAGTTTGAGGGGGTTTTGGTCTTTCCCAATCTGCTTCCCTGTGATGGACCAGGCAAAACAAGTACGTGCCGGTCCAGGAGAGGCTTTGGGACGTGGTCTAGAAAGGATAAAGCTCTCGGGAGCCCCACGTGGCTTCACACTTTCATACTCACTGGGGTTGATGGTCAGGCTGGTTCCTTGCCCGAATACCATCTTCTGGCCGGCACTCCCCAGAGGTGCACCACAGCAAAGAGCTTTACACAAACTGCACACACGGAAGGCCTCTCTCTGCCCCGTGAACAGGAGCCTGATCTGCTCTCAGCGCCCGAGCCTGCTGGGGACAATGGCCCGAATCTCACAAATCAGGGAGGTTTAGGACAGTGTCTCTTTGGGGCTGCCTTCTTCCTCCTTGACAACAAAGTCCCCTTTAGCAGTTACGGACATGTACCACATTTTTATTCTCTTTGTCCGTCAAACATCTAACATCTTTATTTCCACTTCACAGAATTTTAACTTTTTTCTTTTTAAATATCCTTCAGCTTTTACAGAGCTCTCCCTAAAAACAGCTGGATTTAAAGACTCTTTCAAATCAGAATACACAAGGTCTCCTGAGTGAAGTTAAGCTGGCTTCCTCCTTGAAATTGGTGGTTTGAATCCTAGGGTCTGCTCATCTGGGACTTGGTCCATTGGCTAAGACAGGAAAGCTTAGAAGTCAAGGCAGAAAATCCAGGGGGGAAATCCTGTCCTGTGACCCCGTCTTCTCTGCACACTTATCTGGACTTAGTTTTGGACTCAATCCCCCCTCCCCCAAGACATTGCCAGCACTTGTCTCCCACAGGGGGCCCTCCTCAGAATCAGTTCTAGAGGACACCCACCCATGCACCCTGAAGTCTGAAAACAGACATGGTTTCTTTCTTCTGCTCAGGGAGATTTGATTGAAAACTAATCTCCAGTTTTGCAATGTGGAGAGCATTAGGAGGAGATCTGTTTGCTTCCGTCCTCCTCCTCCCCTCTCCTCTTCAACAGTCGTAAACTCTTCATAGAAACAGCCCCCTTAGGGTTAGAGAAATGTGCTAAGTTTCCAATCTCTTCATCTATTTTTCCTGCTATCTATTTACTGCAGTCCTATATTTACGATCTAAATTTACATTTCATTTCCATTTGCTGGAGCTTCTAATACACTTTTTCTGTGACTTCCAGAACACCACGTGTACTGATCAACTCTATTGAAATGAACCAATTCAGAAGGAGTTTTTAGGGCTGGAGGCTGACATTTCTCTCTTCCCAAGACAGGTCTGGGGGTGAGCAAGTCATTATTACTCTTCCAGCCAAGCCCAAGATAGGGGCAGTGCAGCAAACTGAGCAACTAGGCTTGCGGGGTTGACGTGCCTGTGTCTAAATAACCATCTGCTGAGCGTTGCCCCTTGGGGTTAGTTGAGTTTTCTTTTTAATCTAGCTCCCAAATGTCAGCTTCCCATCTTTTTAGCTCTTAGAAGCTCTCTGACAGGCAAAGCTTAAGGTAAATCTCATAGATGTTTTTGGAATCTCAACCAATATTTCATCTCTGTACACATCACAAATAAAGGAACCGAAAGAAGTATGAATACCACAACTCTGGGAGAAAATTTATAACTTCTCTGGGAGAGATGAGAATTATAAATAAAAATGGAATAACATGTGCGTTTTCTGATTATCATTGCTAGTGTCTGGAGGACTGTAAATATCCAACCCAGTTTGGAAACATGGTAGCCGACTGGCCTGCTCTTTGAACTCTAGTTAGCAACTGAACACACAGGTCAGCGTGGAAACACTTGTTTTTAAATCTCATGCTATTTTAGGCTTAAGGGACTTCAGGAAGGTCATCTGGAGCTAACATAATACTCACTAGGACATCCTGATTCTAGCCTTTCTAATGTGGATACTAATTTGGCCATGAAAGTAGAAGTTTTACTTTGAGGTATCCATTGGGTAGTTGGTATCTCTTATGAATTGTAAGCAAAAGGTAAACCCCAGATGGCTGTTTGGAATGTGCTTCTGTTGTAGTAAATAGAGACTCCCTCATGGAGAAACATTTCAGCTACATTCAAGTTAATTAATCGATTTGTTTTGAGAGTGGTAGGTAGCACTCAAAATCTCCCTCTGGTTATTGCAAGCGGGAGAGAAGGGTTGTTATTATAAAAGGTTAGGGAATCCTTCCCTGACACTTCCCAGTGTAGTGCCCCTTTTCACTGAGGGGCACAGAAACGAGTGGGTATCCAAAGGGGCTTCTATGATAAGCTCAGCCAAGGCAAGGATGAAAAAGTCCCAGTTAGAAACGTAGTGGTTAACAGCATCCTGGGGCATTTTTTCAGCAGTTCATGATCTTTCTGACTATTTTGAATATTTGCTTTCAATCTTATCCTTTCCCTAAATATCAGCTTGTGATCAGCGTCAGCACCAGAATATCTTACATGGCTTTACTCAACTTGGTGTGGCTCCAAGAATTTGAGAATTATGGGGATTAGACAATTTTTTCCCCTAATTGCACCAACATGGAGGCCTTGGGAAGATAAGTAGCTCACCCGAGAGTGGTCATTCAGTCGTTTATATCAATAGGCTGTATCTCACTGTCTTCCTTTGGGTCGGGTTGCATTGCCCACCCTGTGTTGCTGTGTACTTTAGTCTAATATATCCTTTCTTCCTAACTGCTTTCTGCCCTGACACATTAAAACTTCAGTTCAGATTCCATTTGTCAGACACACATCTCCAACAACAACAAAAACCAGCTTTTAACATTTCCAAGGGCTTAAAGGTGTTGAAGAAACAGCCCTAAAGGGGCTCCATCAGAGGCTGCTCTCATTATCATGATCGCCAGAAAGACCTGTGGCACCAAGTCCCCAAAGATGCTAATCACTGGACGAGCAATTCAGTGACCTTTCACTGAATTTCTAAGAATGGTGGCTTATGTTCAGGAACAAGCCATCTTCCTTAAAACATACCTGGTCTAACACTCAGGTCGTTCCTCTTCCGAATGTCAGCTTATTAGTGGCTGTGGTACCACACGAAGACACGAGACTCTGCAAAAACTTAGCTGCCCAAACTCCCCTTCCTACCTACTTAAATGTTTATCTATCATCCAAGAATCCCCTTGATAAAAGCGCTTTTTATAATGAGGGTCTGGTGGTAAAGTTTATGGACCTTCTGCGGCCCTCCTTCCTTGTCACTTAGTTGGAAATGTGCCAACCTTCCCTCACAGCATGCCTGCTCTGGTAAAACAGGAGTAGGAACTGCCTCCCTCATTTAACAGAGGGAGACACGAGAGGCTCAGAGAGTTCATTGATTTTCTCTTAGTCCCATGGAAAATTCTACCAGTTCTAATACGAAATTAAACTTTCTATCAGTGTGATTCCTTAGTTTAATGCTGCAGTAGCACTGTCACTCTGGTTTATTAGATAAAATAGCACGTGAGGGTAAACAGCAGAGTCCCACGGGAGGTAGGTACACATCAAGGCTGTTTCAGTTGGAATCCACCAGTGGGGCTGCCATGGTTTGGACTTGCGTTATAAAAGGAAATGGAAAATTTAGGAATCGGGGTTCCAGAGAGAAATTTGGAAGCATTAGTTATTCAGACTTACATGGGCTTACTGTCAGTTTCGTTCCCTTTCCAAAGAAGAGTCTTTCAGATCCGCCCTGAGTTACACCCTAACAGACTGCTTTGCAAATACTGCCAAGGCCCTTCCACCAGGTGCTGGGAACCCCAGCTCCTCCTGCTTTCCCAGAGGAAGCACAAAGGCAGAAACACAATGTTGTGCAATTACACAGTTAAATGGTCATTCCTGAAAAGGGGGTGGGGAGGACCATGGAAACAATTTAATCCATCTTTACCTAACATTAGATTACCTTCATTAATTGACTGATTAGCTTAGTTGGTAGGCAGTTGCAATTAATTGGAATAGCTCAGGCTTTGGGGTCAGACAGACTTGGGTTTGAAACCCAGGGCGAGTCCCTTAACTTGCTGCCCCTCACTTCCCCTACCTGTAAAGTGGGGAGAATGACGCCGCACTGTGATGCTGTTGTACAGACTAGGATCTGTAGGTGGGTTGCAGTGGTCCTGCTGCTTGATCTCTGGCTTGCTTAGCTGAGAGCACACTTCTCTAGGGATTATTTTAGCAACTCTAGAGACCAAAGTGTCAGTGATTTCCCGCCCAAACATAACCCCCCAGCTGGTAAACATTTAGCTCTGGAAGCTGAGTCTCAAGAATTAAATTCCAGGCCCTCTCTCTCACTGAGCCAATCTGAAGAAGTTACTCAACCTCTCCCTGTGCTTCTATAAAAATATAAAATATAAAAATTTAAAAAGTTCCCTTCTATAAAATGAGGATAATAACAGCACTTAACCCACATAGCTGATATAAGGGTTGACTGTGGTAATGGATCGAAAGCATGCAGCACATTGCCTAGCACATAGTAAGCAATTAATAAATCATCATTATTTTCCTCCCCAGAAGACAAACACATTGACAGTGTTCCTCTTTTCACAATGACCTAAAAATCCTAAAGTCCGTGGGCACTTCTCTTCCTCTAA